AAAAGCATTTGTGAAGAAATTCACACTGCACATGCCATCTGGCATCGCTGGAACGAAATATGAGTGCACCCTAATTAAACTCATAAAATTTCTGACAATGAGCACCCCCATTCACTCTAACTATCACCCCTGCACCCCTGACCCCTCATTCCAAAAGAATGTATACTGGTTGGGCGACATAACAGGTTACCGCTACTGTGTATTCCAAAAACATTATGCGTCTTTCGGTATTAATTTATCTCAAAACCCAGCATTTTAAATTCTAAAAGCATCGCGTAAATTTCGTTATAATTTCTCAGAAACGATCATTGCGGGAAAATTGTGGGCCAGGACTAAGATTTTTGAATGATTGATGCGATAAAACGATAGTTCGAGGAGCGATAGAAGCGGGAAAATGTAACATTATTTCATGTGGGATGTATCCGGGACTGATAGTTCGCGGAACGATTGATAGAGGTTTCACTGTATTAACACTCTGCATCTCCTCTTAGTGCTGCTGTTTCTTCTTCTGGAGACTTGTACACATGGGGAAGAGGCAATTATGGAAGACTTGGGCATGGATGCAGCGAAGATCACTCTGTACCAACTATAGTGGCAGGTTTGAAAGGTATGTGCAATTTTAAGTTGTAATTTTATTTATTCATAATATAACAATAGAGAATTTTTCTCATTTCTCCTTACTGCATTGATTAGTGTTTTAAATTGATTCCTAAACATGATATCTTGTACTGTATTATCTAGAAACAGTCAATTTCTTGACAGTATAGTGGAATGGGTCATATTTACCAGAAATGGAGATTATCTCAGGAAAAGATATACCTAAAATCAGAGACTTAAAATGAGAAACAGGAACATTACAGAAGATTTGTTTATTCCAACTAACAGTTATAATTTTGTGCATTTGTTTTGGTGTAATATTTTTTAGTCTTATTGATGCAACATTTTGTCATGATCTGCCATTATGCTTATCTCCACAAACTGAAAAGTTTATCTAGAACTCAAGGTACATGAACTGCATCTTCAAGGTCATGCACAAAATTGTACCTCATCCATATCTTTAAACAGAAAAGATGAGTTTCTACTGTATAGTGCACAAAAAAGCACTTCTCTATGTACTGAAAGAACAGAGAAAAGTATTCTACTTAAATTCAAAATTTTGTAAGCTGAGATAATTTTATTGGTCATTAGAGTGTCTCATTGTTTATGTATGCATGTACACACAGGCACACGTGCGTGCGCGCACACACACACAAAACTCTTTCTTTCACAAAAATGTATGTACTGGCAGCAAAGAACACAAAAAGTAAATGCATTTCAGAGCCTTTTCATAACAAAAATTCTCCATCATATAATCCTGTATAAAATAAATTGATTACACAATTTTTACTAATTTGATAATTTTTAAGTGAACCAAGAGGCTGAACTTAATATTATTTCTTGTGGTTCATGATTGCAGGCCACAGAGTGGTAGATGTTGCCTGTGGCAGTGGAGATGCACAGACACTGGTTGTAACAGATGCAGGGTTGGTATTTTCTTGGGGAGATGGAGATTATGGGAAATTAGGTGAGTGAGCTTTCAGAAATTATTGAGATATGTGTCAGCTAAGGACAACCGTTAAAGAGTCCTCTGGATGGATGAGGTCAACAAGTTGCTCAACTCCTTGACTATTTGGTAAGATGGTTTTAAGTTTAAAGTATTTCTGTCTGCATTCCTCACAGTTTCATTTATATGCAGGTAGAGGAGGAAGTGATGGTTCCAAGACACCAAAGCTGATTGACAAGCTCCAGGATGTTGATGTGGTGAAGGTTTACTGTGGGGCACAGTTTAGCCTGGCACTTACAAAGACAGGCTCTGTTTATTCATGGGGCAAGGGTGACACACACAGATTAGGACATGCCTCTGAGGAACATGTGAGGTTCCCAAAACTTATTGAGATCTTACAAGGTAAGAGCAGAGCAATTTTCTGAGCTTAATATTGCTATCCTACAGTATAAATTATCAATGTGCACATAGTAATATTGATAAGAATCCAAAAAAGAAAATCTCATAGATTTTAAGAATTGTTTAGGAGAGCTTATATTTATAATAATAAAGGTATACAAATGAAATAAATCTCTATCAGTTGGCAATTTTTATTGTGGATTGAGTGGCCATGTTATACAATTCTGTTTAACAAGAATTCTCATTGTTCTGTGAAAACTAGTACATTTACAATGCATATGCTGATAGATATGTTACAGAACTTGTGTTATTTAGGAAAGTCTGATAAATTTTAAATATATGTAGTGGCAGTTACATGATGGAAATATAAAAGAGTGTCTGTTATAAAGACACATTTGAATCCTAAGGAAGTTTAATTTGCAGTTATGAATACTGTAATCTGCATGACATTCCAGGGAAACGAGTTGTATCACTAGCAGTGGGCTCTGTTCATGTACTTGCATTGACTGATGAGGGTGAGGTGTATGGCTGGGGGAGAAATGACTACGCTCAGGTCGGAGAGACGACAGGCAGCAGCGTCCTTGAGCCCACCCTTATTACTTCTCTTCAGGGGAAAGTCATCATTGGAATGGCCTGTGGACCAACTCAGGTATTACTGAACCATATGGTTTAGTAGTTAGAATTCTTCCTTCATATTTGATGAATCTTTACAATCTCAGGATGTCAGCTGTCATGAGTGAGGTTTTCATGATTTATATCAGTTCCTCCTGGTAAGTACCAGGATAGTGCCATAATATAGGCTGTGACTGCTTTGTTGTTTAAGTAAGCACAAGAATATCTTTACCTTTGACTCTTACAAAATTACACATACAATTATATTGGATGATGTTTGTTTCATAGTAACTACTCGCCTGCTCCACTGTAATGACCTTAATCCCACCATGCTCGCTAAATTCTTCTTTAATTAAATTAAACTTTTCATTTACCATTTAAAGTATATAATTGGTAAAGCATTAATAAATAAACAAGTAAACAAGAATTTTCAGATTATTTTCCTTTCAGATGTCAATATATGTCAGTATAAGTATTATTAATTACAATGTAAATTCCATTCCCATTCAAAACACTGTAACCTATAGTTCTGATGATGTTTTTCTTATGCCAACATCAGTATTATTAATTTTAGTTTAATTTCAGATTTGTATTGTATGTTGTTTGTTACTCATTTGATTTTGTGTCTGTTGGTTTCAGAGTTTTGCCTGGAGCAGTAGTAGTAACTGGAGTATCAACCTACGTGTTGCGTTTGTGGTAGATGTCTGTGAAGAGACATTCCAAATGCTTGACCAGCTCCTGAGCCTTGTCTGTGAAGGTGTTAGTGGGAATCTGGACTGGCCACCACCACAAGATAAGGAATGTATGGCTGTAGCATGCTTGAATCTTCTCAAACTGCAGGCAAGTACAGGTCAACGACTTACGAAACAATAATTATTGGCAGAGTCCACTGTATATCAGAAATAGTATTTTCAGGGAAAGGACTCCTAGTACTCATTAGATAGGAGGCTGGATGGGCCACAAAGCTGGTCTGGATACAGAGGCTAGAAGAAAAAATTCCTTCCCTTTTCCAGGAATCAAACCCTAATTATCCACTCTGTAGACATTTACTATTAGTTGTATAATTATTCTGCCATTCAGTGCTACATATTTTATGCAGTTGTAAAAGCATAGTTTCAGTCAAGTGTTGGTGATCTCATATTTGAGTGTGAAAATGCTGATTGTGGACTTCTGAAGACTACATGGCATCACAACCCAGAAGACCACAATTGACGACTTTCGAATAGAGAACAGACACGATCTGCTCATTTTGCTTTCATTTTATGTGCTTTTGTTGTTTTTTAAGGTTGTTGTGAGGCATTTGTTGTTTTTAAGGTTATTTTGAGTAATTTTGCCTATGTTTCAGCTTCATGCAATGCTAAGCCACAGTGTGGATGTCAGTTGTGTTGGTTTAGGACCAAACACCAACTTGTTGTCTAGCCTGAAACAGCATGTGGTGGAGTTAGCCAGCAATATTGGTGTCCTGAACACAATCCAGTCAGCAGCACAGGCCACGTTGCAGGCTGGTTGGAGCATTCTGCTGCCAACAGCTGATGAACGTGCTAAAACTCTGTCAGCACTTCTGCCAAGTACAGGTATTATATTGTTTCTGGCAGAAGTATAGTTGTTGGACAGAATTATGATAGTTTTCTGCAGTATTTTTAAACCTTTTAATAAAACTCACGGGTAAGTAACTCCCTGGTATAGGTTGATCTGTGTTTTACACTTTGGGAAATTCCTTGTCTGACAGTTGAAGTTTCTTGGTGGTCAAAATGTTGATTATGGTCTTACAGATTCTTATGTTGTGCAGTCTTGTCTGGAACACTCCTCAGAAAATTGTTTGGTTTTTGGTGAAGAAACATAAATAGAATGTTGGTGACTACATTATTTCACCTCTTTTCTCTTCATTCCAGCTATTGTCAGCATGTCATAGCCACTTAACTGTTTAAGATGAGGTGTTTTTTATTTGGTTCCCATTATTAAGTAGTTGGTGCTTTGTTACTGATTATACAACATTTTTGAAGCTATCATACATACCTGTCTGCAAGCCTAAAATATCTCTTCTTTTTCTTCTTATTTAGATGTACTGTTATTATATGTTCATACCATAATTCTCCTTGTATTTGGTAAATATGGTAGTGTAGCTTGATACTGGAAAAGACCATGATGATTTCTTTGTGGCTTATTATCCATGTTTGTACTTTCATTGCAGCTGACTTTTGTGTCATTAAATAACATACAAACCAACACATCTAAAAGAATTGCTGCCTGTACAGAAAGTGCATAATGTGAAACATTTGTTATTTTTTAATAGGTTCAGATCCTTCTGCAGTAAGTGCAGGCCACCGCTTCATGACTGATCTCCTTGTTTCTAGTCTGATGGCAGATGGGGGTTTGGAAACAGCCTTGAAAGCTGCATTTAAAGGTAAGGATTTCACATTTATTACATTAATGCATGCTGACTAACTCACATTTTAATTAAGAAAACTAAAATTTGAAGATTTCTGTCTTCTGGGTTTTTGCACTGTGTAGTCTGGTAGATGTTTACCAGACTACATAGAGCAACAACCCAGAAGACAGAAATCTTCTGTGAAAACCACAAATCTTACAAACTAAAATTTGTAGCTATGGCCAAAGCAATTTTGACAGTGTCTTCATTTTACAGTGGAACTGGGAGAACATTCAGAAAATGATGAAAGAAAAGTCCACATGTCAGATCAAGCCTTGCTGGAAACAGAATCAAAACGGGCGAAAGATGCTTCTCTTCATGAAAAGCACAACTCCACTGTTCCTCTCCTTCATCTAGTCAAATTACTTCTCAGGTTAGCGTAAATTGCAGTTTATTTTAATGTGTTAACTGCTTTTACAGTGTCATAAAAATGTCAGTTTGTGTATAAATGGATTTTATCTTAATTGATGTTTACAGGGGGGAATGTGTGCCATATACATACATAAATACATACATGCATGCTTATGTGTGACATGCACATGCACGTGCATACACACACTGAGTGCAACCTCAGTATAACAATAACTTATAAAATGTAGAAATATGTTGGTCTAATGGGTACTCATAATATTAATTCGTGAATATTATAAAGGAGTGTAATAACGTCTCCTTGTGTCACTGCTGCTGACTCACAGTGACTTGTGGCAACTAATGTGGTGATCACACAGTGAAAGATTATGCTGTGGCATAGGTACCAAATATCCTTCCTGTAGTATAATGTCTGGTTGAAGGCATAAGAAAATAACTTGTCATTAATATGTCATCTAGAGATGTGGGGAACACAATACAAATATTGTCACATCCATTACATTGCATAAATAGTAAGCTTGATAATGCATTGTCTGTACAGGGTGATTTATTGCTTAATGTATATTTAAAAAGTACAGTGTTTGTTGTATCTGAAAACACAAATAGAACATACTGTGCATTCATTGTAAAGCTCCATGAAAGCTTGAAACAAAAATTATAAGAAATTATTTTCCAGGAATGGTTCAGCATTAACACAAGCAAGGTTACAGGCTGTTCAGAACTGTGGAACAGTCCGTCATGAATCGAGAGAAAAGCATGAGAGATCTCCAAGTTTGAATCTATTATTGAGGTTTCAGAGGCTTCTGATAGCTCAGATTTATTCTCACAGTCACAAAATGAAGTCTTCGAACTCACAGCAAGGTAAATTCTTATGTCATTTTGAAAATTCAGAACATTACGGCATATAATGCTTTAAATCTCTATTGTTATACCATTATTTGTTGATGGCATTGTGTTTTACCTTGCAGATCAAGATGTTCTGGGAGCAGAGTCTTTACTCACAAAATACATTTATCAGCTATGCAATCATATCACTGAAACCCTGCCAGTAGCCTCAAGTTTGGCAGCAACAAGCAGTAGACACTTCTCTCATGTTGTTTCAATTCTTAAAGGTGATGTGATAGGTATGTATTTTTGTAGTAGTTGTTTTAAACTTTGTTTGTGTAATATGAATGTTTCTATATGATTACCCAGTTGGTATCAAGACATTTTGATGCTTTCTGTCTTCCTATTAAAATAAAATAGATGTAGATTATATGTTAATTTCTCACAGCAGCAAGTATGAAGATGACTGTCTCCTGGGATGTTGTATCATGTATTCTGATAGAAGTTTAATGATATTTTAGAGGTGCTTACTGCCTAAATTATCAAGGTGATTTCTCTGTACATTAAACTCTGTATTAGTAGAGGGAAAATTATACATGAATAATAAAAAGCACTGATATTCCAAAATTGTCTTATACTTAACTCACATGTGATGACATGAAATTTTCATATTCTTGGCACAGTCATAATTTTAGCAGTTATAAGTAGTGTTGTAACACAGTCTAGTGCCAGTAGTGTCAAGGGAAGGAGTGAGTGAAATACCAGTTTTTACTTCCCTGTAACTCACTGAATCTCCCCAGAGCAGAGCATAGGCTGTGGTGGATAACAGAAACAGGCAAGCAGAAAATGAAGGGTGGGAAAGAGATGAAAGCATAGTTTTGCAAGCACCAGTATATACATTTAAATGCAATTGTAATTTCCTAGTTTGTGACAGGAACTCCTCTTACCAGGTATGTTGATTTTATTATTTTTATGGAGCAATACTTGACTCAAATTGGGAAACTTTGTAGTGTTTGGCAGTAAGTCATGCAGTTCCAACTGGGTGCCAGGAAGTGATTTATGCATTCTGCTTTGTCAGTAAATACACTGTACAACAGTGCTCAGATATGTAAATTTCCAGTTCATTCAGCAAGTAATTAAAAAAAGTTAAAATATGTCAATTGATAATGTATTAATTGATAGTCACATCGCATAATTTTACAGATGTACTGTTACCAGAGTTGATCGTGTGTATGATCTTATTACAACTGGAGGTTCCATTACTCTTGCATCAGGTGAATTGGGTCCAATTGCTTGTGCCCTTACTTGACACTTTGGATAAGTTCAACCGCCTGGCATCAGGGGTTGACAAGGAGGATGCAGAGGATCTGTCTTGGCCAGGGATAATAGGTAGTTATGTCCCTATTGTATTTAACATACAAATACACTACAGGTCTCTGGTATTCAAATAATGTTGACTGATGTAAATATGTCTGTTTTTTTCCTAGCACCACAACACAGTTTATCTGGCCAGAAGGCACCGGAAGACATACCAATGATCAGAAAAGCTGACCTAGAAAATCACAATAGAGATGGTGGGCTTTGGATTGTTGTTGACAGAAAAGTTTATGATGTTCAAGATTTTAGGTATGTTTCATTCCTAAAAAAACTAAATATAAATACATAGCTCTCGTGTTAGTGTTATGTAGTCAGTTGCACTTCTGCTTCACATTTCAGAGAGGCTCTGGGTTTTTTCAGGGACAATGATGATGTATGTATAGCATGAGTTTATGAAAGGTAAATACTGCACAGACTGCATTTTTAACTACATTCTTTACCTTTGTAGACTATGAAAAAGCAGCTCATTTAATTATAGCAGTATGAAGTTTATTTTGACAAAACACAATTAAAATCAAGCTTAACATGATTGATAAGGACATTGACGTTAGTCATGGAGCGAGATGGGACTCGCACTTTCTTCACTCTTATTTCATGTATTGAAGAAATTGTTAGAAGGTAGATGAACACACTTCAGACAAACTTCTATGTGAAAGAGATACATTTTAAATTATTATTTTTTCTGGGTGATCCAGTCTGAATTTAAATCCATATTAAATGGGACTGGAATGATTACCAAAACAGGTAATAAATTGCAGACCAGGAGGAAGAAGATACATCAGTAGACCAGGGCAAAGATGGAGCTGAAGTTTGGAATAGGTTAATGGACCTTATCCCTGGACCTAGGTGATGATGAAACATTGCAAGTGATTAACTCAGAATGGTATGTGCTTGCAGAGCTCAAGCACCATGCGGCAGTGAGCTGCTCCAGAGGTATGCTGGGCGAGATGCAACTCAACCCTTCCATACAGCTGCACATTCACAGGCAGCCAGGGAGATGATGCAAGGCTTCCTTGTGGGATATTATATGGAACCAGAGCAAGAGGTGGTTCAGGTACACCTTTCATTTTAAGGAAATTCTTTGAATTTGATTACTCGTCAATGTTTTGGTGCTGGGAACGCTTGTCATTGACTTTCCATTGATTTACATTATAAAAGAGTTTCAATTTACGCTGGTTCGTCCAGGAATGCATCCCCAGCGTAAATCGAGGGCTACCTGTACATTGTAGTTCAGAATCCAGATAAAGCTGCTTTTCACCTCTAACAGTCATCTTTATGATTACTGTATGATCATAAATAATTGGAATCCTATCTTATTCCTGTCTGATAGGAGCATTAATTCTGATTCATACAAAGCGAAATTTCTTTCATAGACTTAGTAAGTGGGAACTGTACTCTCCACTTTAAAAACTCTTACAAGATTGTTTGTGAAGAAAATACTTCCCACTTTAAACTGTCTTGGAAACCCACACAAGATAAAAATAACATGACATCAAATGTCTTCAAGGAACACCAGTCATGGAAATGAATTCCTTCCCAGTGGTTTTACAGGCAGATGCCAAAAAAGTCAAACAAACATAACTGGAGGAAATAAAGAAGCATAACACTTTTTAATATAGATTTGGCAGTCACTTAACTGAGTGATGATTATTTTATTTCTTAGGCAGTGGATGTGAATAATGTGGGCTCCCCGTTGATGGACGTGGAACGAAACCTTGCATTTCTCCTGGGTTTGCATGCTCACTGGTTGTCACAGAGTACAGCCTTACAGCCTGCAGAAGAAGAAGCACAACAGTGGCTGCATGCTGTATTTCTGCGGGGAGGTCTTCAGGTTCTGCAGCCGCCAAATCCATATGAAGAAGAAAAGGGAGAAGCACGAAGCACTAGCTCGACAGCTGGCACAACGCCTACTGAACCCAATACTCCAAAGCTGGAGGGACTGCATAAATGGACACTTGATAGAGCAGCACCATTTCTGCAGGCCTTGGCAGAGCATAGGTCTACGGTATGGTTTTCAAAAGCAAAAGAAATCATACAGCTTATATTGATTGGCTTATCAAGAAATTAAAAGATAACTTCCATACACATAATTTCTATATTCTGATTTTTAACATTTGACAGGATCCATATGTCCGCACATTTCTGAGTATTGTTGAACGTTACTGCAAGTTACATCATCTGATGATGCATGGAGACTTATCAGCAGACCATCCTGTAGAAGAAGTGGGAAGGCTTTTAATGGCTCTTCTGATAAAACATCAAGGTTTAGGTTTCCAAGTTATTGCTCTCATAGACCAAGGTTAGAATGACAGCTTTGCAAAAATTAAATCTACTTTAATGACTGTTGAATAAAGGCTAACATTGTTCTGAACCTCCCCTTGTGTTGGGTGTTATCACTTATGATTCAGATCTTTCATCTGATAAACTTCTTAAGATGAGAGAGAGAGAAATGAGCTAATTTCTCTATCTTATATTTTTACTTAACAGAGTCAGAATTGTATCAACTTAAGTTTTTAGGTAGTATCAAATACATTGCACATTAAGTCTTTTAAAGTAAACCTCTTAAAGGTATTGAGGAGAATGACAGAAAGATCTAATATAATCTGTCATCTGGCTGAGTTTTGAATTGGATGTCTCAGAGATATGGAAGGCAAATAGAATCCATGATACTAAGTATGTTTTGGTGTATGTGCTATATAGTCTGATGTAACTCTTGTCAAAAATGTTTTTAACCTGTCCAAGTTGGTCGTAATTCTGAACATTTTATGAATGAAATTGACATGAAATTAATTCTCGTATTCAATATGTGAAGTTTCGTGTGTTTAAAATTGATATGTAACCTTTTTATCTGCTCTTAGATGCTCTAAACTTCGTCTGAATGCTAAATATAAAGAAATACAAACAATATTATATTGTAATATAGAGTGAACAAAACCAACAACTATTAACACTATAATGGACACTATTGCCATACGCGTTTCGACCTCAAGAGGTCATCATCAGTGGCATCAGGGAAATTAATACATATAGTCAAATGGTTCGAGCAAATTTCATAATTAAAATGAAAGGTAACTGACAAGATGACTGCACTAGATGCTGTTATTCACAGGAGTAAAACTCGCACTTAGCTGTTGATCCCGTTGTACGGTGTGAAAAACAGCATCTAGTGCAGTCATCTTGTCAATTACCTTTCATTTTAATTATGAAATTTGCTCGAACCATTTGACTATATGTATTAATTTCCCTGATTGCACTGATGATGACCTCTTGAGGTCGAAACGCGTATGGCAATAGTGTCCATTATAGTGTTAATAGTTGTTGGTTTTGTTCACTGTATATTCTAATACACGACACGGTATGCAAAGTTTTAATATTATATTGTGCAAAAGTTCAGCATAAAAAGTAATAAATAGAAAGTTAAATGTTTCTTTAACTGAAAAGTTTTTCATTGCTACAGAGTAATCAATGAAGACAACTTTTTTTTATTAGATTTCAAGTAAGCAGAAAGATCAATTAATATTTTCTGTTACTGTTTCCTCATTCAGAAATTGATGGCAGTGGAATTTCTGTCAAAATACCTAAGCAACTGATTGATATCATCAGAACAGTCCATCAGACAAAATGGAATCTAATAAAAACAAGACAAGAGATGAACCGTTCATATAAAGAAGTCTGTGCGCCTGTATTGGATAAATGCCGGTAAGTTATCTTCTGTGGTTTTTACCAGACTGCAGACTACCAGACACAATGCAACATCCTAGAAGACAGTCATATTCGTACTTTGTTGTGAGAACCTGAAATCTCACCCATTGTTACTGTCATGTTTTGGACATTTGTGTTTAAATACATTACCACTGTTCACATAATTCATGTTATAATTGTTGGAATAGATTTGAAACAAGAGCAATTTTAGTGAAAGAATGTTGAAGTGTGGGGAGATAGTAAGTGACTGAAAAGGAGGTCTGTATGTAATGTTAATTATTTTATTTTGTGGATTGGTTAATATGCATTTCATTAATCATTCACTTTCACAGTATAAAATCAAATATATTGATTTTAGATTTGTCTTCGTATTTACTTTCTTCACAATTTTGTCATAATATTTATTTTCTTACAGTGTATATATTGTGTTATTTTTCTGAATTTTTAACCTCAACACTTTATCTTAGAATTTGAATATCTGTCCAGCAATGTCTGGGTTATCTAATTTGAAATACCCTTACTGTGTTTTTCCTGTCATTAGATTTCAAATTTCACTGTATAAAATAAATTGTTTTTTATGACAGGTTGTGCTCCTGCTAACCAATTAATTTTTAAGTTAATCAGTCGATAGTAAGTATATATAGTAAGTAGTTTGTCATTTGAAATTATTCTTTTGGAAAATATACCCATATAGGTATACACTGTGTAAATTGGGAAAAAAGGTGTACTGAGAATTGAAATAACATTTGTATTATTTGATAAATTATTATTTATTGTTACAAATTATATTTGTGTTTATGAAGTAATTTAATAATATTACAGTGTTAGTAAATCATGTGCTAGAAGTTGTATATTTTATACCATTTTACTTTTCAGATTCCTGTTGCATGAAATTCGAGCTGCTACAAGTTTTGAAGTAAAAGCTCTGCATCACTTGCAGCTTCTTCACACAGTTCCTAGATGGAAGAAAACTGTGAAAAACATTATTTCTGATAACAAATTGAGAAAACACATGCCATGTGCAAAACCAGAGGACATTTTGAATGCAAGCATACAGGTAATAAGCTGAAACTTTCTTTTCTAGTATTGTTTTATCTTCAGGTTTATTAGTTTAACAGGTGAACGTTGGATCTTATCTCAAGCTCATTGAATCCAGTCCTCATCAGCTACTCATTTCCTTTACTTATTTAGCTGTTCAAATCTAAATTACATATGATTGTGTGAGTTGATGCAGAAGTTTTAATCGAAAATAAGATGAAACCTCAAATCTTGTTGTTGTGAGGTTTTGTCTTATTTTGGATTTGCTTTGGTTTTGACTTCGTAAACCTTTGTCTTTAATGTTTTTTAGTATTTTGTTTGTTGCTATAATAGTTATCTGTAATCACAACTGTTAATGTGGAAAACCTGTAGTTGGCTATATTTGTTCTTTATTTTTACATACTCAGAGTCAGGGTGTGGAAGCAAAGTGCAAGGAGAATGAAGAAGAGACTGAGTCATGGACCAGGGATGAAAAGAAAGATGAAGATGAGGAAGAAGAGGGGGACAAAGGCTGGGACAGTACAATGAATCTGCTTTTGCAGATTGCAGGTAGATATTTGTCAAAGAGATCTGAGATTTTCACAGCGTTGTGGGTGTAGATACTGGTCTTCTGGGCAGTTGCACTGTGTAGTCTTTTGGTTGTGTAGAGATGAAGCAATTGAATGTCTCTGAAAATCTTTGTTTTGAAGTGCATACTGGTGGATTTGCTGAATGATTTTTATTATTTATCAACTGCTGCAGTTTTCTTCATTGTAAATGTGTGTAGTCCATTTCTGACTTTGGTGAATTGAAGTGAGGGGACATGCTTGACATGCCTGTTGTGTACAGGGATGATGAGTTGTTAGCAATTCAAATAACTCTTTCCAGTACTGATTTGGTGGAAAATAGGTCAAGTTTTGTTGGGGTTGCCGGTTCAAAATAGCTGTCAGAAAACATGGAGATTACAGTGATAAATGTGGATGTTTTTTAAACTAATATATTAGAGCTACTCTATGACAGATGAAAAATTTACCCTGTTGAGATTTCAGGTTCTTGCAGCAGTGAGTATGAAGATGACTATCATCTGGGATGTTGCACCATGTAATCTGGTAGCAGTATACTTAATTTAGAGAGGTTAGTATACTTATACGAGATTATACAATGCAGCATCCCAGAAGATAGTCATCTTCATATTTTCCACTGTGAGAATCTAAGTCTCATAGTACAGGACATGTTTGATGTGTTTTTTTCTCCCCATACAGAAAAGCAGCAGAACAACATGCAGTGTCCAGATAGTGGTAAGATAACAAATGCCGTAATTGATTTTGTGATGCAGGAGGAAAGTGGAGATGTAGAGACATTAAGGAAAGCTTTATATTGTCAGGTAATTGACATACATTAGATTTTATTATTTATGTAGACAAATTTATTCAAAGCTTTTATTTTTGTACCCGTACATAAGCACATGTAACATCCTGGCAGTTTATAATTAAATTATATTTTTACCGATAATTACAAAAAAAATAAAATCAATATAATCAGAATTCTCAGATTACATTATCTGTTTGTAGTTTCATATTTGTTTACCCTAAACACAAAATGAATATAAATTTACTAAAGTCATATTTGAAGCATGCATTTTTAAGCATATGGACAATACATTTTAAGACTATGAGGTTATCATGGTGATGAAAATATGGATTTTGATCTTCTGGGTTATGACACCCGTACTATAGATGCAGTTGTTTTTCCAAAATCCACCTACGCAACTGCATGACATTGTAACCCAGAGGACCAGAATCAAAACACTTCTTAGGTCAGAAAGAATTAATTACATGTTTTCCTTTGAATGGGAAGGACAGCAGTATCAGATTTCTGTTTTAGTGAGGTTTACAAAGACAATAAATTATTATGAAGATTAAGGATTTTAGTTTACATAATAAACAAATCTGCTTTTTGCCTTAGGTTCAAAGAGCAAGAATCAGGATACAAGGAAACGAGATGATGTATGAACTCTTAAAAAGGGATTATTTGATATCGTCTGTTAAATACACATTACTAAATGGTTGGTTAGGCCTTGCACATAAGAAACACATCCTAAGGTGAGTCTGATGTTTTACTTCTGTACAGAGGAATTTCAGTCTGGTTTCTTGTCCAGGATCCAATTTAACCTTTTTCATTCTATTTTAGGTTGGTAAGACTCCATGGTTGTATATCATTTCTGTTCCTAAAAGGTCATAATTAGTCAGTTTAGAATTGTGTGAGGTGGTAGGCAAAGTTATTTCACGTAACATCAAATATATTGAGGTTATAAGGGCCAGTGTTTCTAGGAGAGCAATCTTAAGTTTAGCATGAGAGCAGATAATAATATCTGGGAAAAAATAAAGCTCTGTAGATGAATGATATTTACTATTATTTATATTATTATAGGTAATTTTATCTTTACACGTTGGTCAAGTTGAGACTAATTAATTCCATGACAGAATCCTTGTTGAGAAGCTAATTGTCATGCAACTGGTCATGAAATTCTCTGCCTTTTATAGAACCTGAAGGTTTCTTACTGTGTTAACATGAGCATGCCACTAGTATCTGTCCTGAGCCATATGAATCTAGTCTACATCTGAGCATTCTTTTTGGTTGAGACTAGCTGTAATATTTTAGGAGTATGGTGATATTTAGCATCTCAGTCATGCTGTATTTGACCTTGTTTATAGGGAAGGTTTGTCTTATTGTCTTGAAAATATCCAGTCAGTAAATCCATACCAAAAAGTAGAAGTGCTCCTATCACAAGCCAGGATTACATCATGGGCTGTAGCAACATTACGTGAACATGTCCTACTGGCTGAGCAACCAAGAAAGACTCATAAACTGAAAGGCAAAGGTTCATTGAACCAAGGAACTTACAGTTGGCTGAGGAAACTACCCTGGGCAAGGTGAGTGGATGGGATATTGTCCCAGTGATTCACTCAGATGAATTGTTATTTTCAAGTATTGTTTGTGCATTAAGTGAATGAATGACAATTTTAGATTTGAATGTCTTAACTTAGGTGTTTGCAAATGGTAAGTTTCTATGAAAATTCTTCCTATATTGTACTGAAAATGTAAAAGGCTTCATTCTTTGATTGGTATGTACATCTCTTTATATGAAGTTAGCACTTACATTCAGAATTTTTTTGTACTCTTAACTGTTTTTAATTAAATAATTTTTTGTCGGTAATCCTAATTGTCTTTCTCTTTTTATTTTCTAAGTCATTGCACTTAAACACTGGATTTTTAATATAAATTTTTTTAGACCCTTGTGCACAGTATGGGGCAGATTATTGTTTTATTAAAGACTTAAACAGTGAAATTATTAAATGTTGTATGGAAATAATTTTCTTTGAAACCTTGTATTTGGATTGGATCTTCTGTAAGCTTATAATACTCCTCTTCATCACAGATTTCTGTTGACAATCTTGGGCATGCTGACAGGACACCATCATGGCAATGAAATAAGCTTGATCGTAAATTCTGGTGTTCTGGCTCTTATACAGTCTTTAATGAGGCAAATGGGTAAGTATTTAAATTTAGAAAGTAATTTCACTTTTCCATAAGAGATATAAACCACTATGTGGAGTGACACTGTATAAAATATAGTAGTAGAAGACTGGAAGCTGAAAGTAATTAACTGTTGTGGATTTGCTTTCTAAATGATTATGTGAAATACAATGATCACTTGCTTGCAGGTTGGTTTTCTAAGGAGATTTTGGAGAGATTGATTGGAAGATAGCTGTCTTCTTGGGTGTTGTGCCATGTAGTGTGGTAGAAGTTTAGCTTAGCAATGTTTTATTGATGCTTGCTGCCTCCATCATCAGGTTGATCACCCCGATGATCTTGGAAGCTTAGGATTTTCAGGAGTTACTGCTGTCTATAAAATAGAAAGAACCTACAGTAACACACTTGAGGGGTGGGGATTACCATTTTAGGATATGCTGCTGCTGGCAGAAGATGAGGTAGAATTGATTGCTGTTCATAAGTTAGAGATGGGAAGATTTCTGTCTTCTGGGTTGTTGCGCTGTGTAGTCTGGTCGATGTTAACCAATGTTTCAGAGGTCATACTGCCTCCGTCATCAGGGCGATGAATATGCCAATAGGGTGTGTGGGGCTAGGTTTATAGGGCCGGAAAGTGAAAGGTGTAGCCTGCCCTGAGCCAATGGGAGCAGGCGTGGGAGTGGACCAATGGTAGCGCGTGGGCGAGTGTGGGAGAGGGAGAGAAAGTAAAGAGAGAAAGGGTGAGTTCGGTTGGATGGATCCGGGCCCTGAAAAGGGCCATGTTAGTGGTCTGGTTGGTTCTGGCGGTGCACTCTTGCTCACTCTTGGAGTCCTCGAATTGTGTGAATAAGAGGCTTCCAGGACAGGTTCAGGTGAAGTCCATCTTCCCTGTTAAAGTTATCGGATCCATCCAACCGAACAAACCCTTTCTCTCCTAACTTTCTCTCCCTCTCTCACACTCACCCACATGCTACCATTGGTCCACTCCCATGCCTGCTCCCATTGGCTCAGGGCAGGCTACACCTTTCACTTTCCAGCCCTATAAACCTAGCCCCACACACCCTATTGGCATATTCATTGCCCTGATGACGGAGGCAGTATGACCTCTGAAACGTTGGTTAACATCGACGAGACTACACAGTGCAACAACCCAGAAGACAGAAATCTTCATACTCACTGCTGTGAAAACCTCAAATCTTACATAGAGATGGAAACTTCTACAAGTTTACCGTGGTTTGAGATGAGCTGAAAATCTATTTAGGGATGCTTTATAGAACAAGAAGGAATCTGGAACTGGAACATGGAAGTTTTGTCCATTTTATGTTTCATGTATTGTATGACAGGACCAGAATTCTCATCATGCATAGAGGATAAAAATAAGGATTTGTTTGCGATATATGAAGACACTCTGCAAAAGAATTCTCCTCCAGCCATCATATTGAGTGGCCCAGAACTTGCAAGTATGATGAAGATTGGAACTCGTGTTGTGAGAGGTGTGGACTGGAAATGGGGGGACCAGGTCAGTATAATTGATTTTTAGTTATACCTAGTCTGATAGGAAATACCATTTAACCTTTATTGATTGTGTGTCATGACTTACATGCTGTCCAGATGGCTGTGTGTTATATTAGCATACTGCTAAACTGTTAATGGTGGAATTGAATATTGGCTATTGAGCCCAAAATACAGGCGTTTAAATACTGTATTCCATTGCAATTAAATTTAATGGAGTAACTGCCTGCACTGAAGTCTTATCAGTCTGATTTGAAGGGACTAAAAAAATTATATTTCAGATTAACAGAGTTTCATATTAATATAGATCAGCTTTCATCATGCTCACTTAAATTCAGTGGTTCATAATCATTGGAAATTTATAGGCCATGAATTCTGTGCTACAGTAATTTACTTATGCTATCATTGAATTAAAAAAGAGTTTACTAGCAGAAAGTCAGTTCAGTTTGGATATAAGTAACTGTGATGATAATGATAGGCAGTAGTTAATAGTGGTAATAATGTAAGTGAGAGTGTTTCAGCTATTAGCAAAGATGATCTGTTTACAAATCACATATATTGTGAAAGAAGAAGTAGGTTATGTTTTTGACCTATAGTGTAAATGTATGTAATACTAAATGTTTGCTGGGTGTTCATCTGTACTTCAGTCTTAATCAGTCATGTATGTGGATTAATATAAATTATGAGATCGATACCTAAGCTGCATGTGGGTGTTTAACACAAAAAGTTAAAGTAAAAGTTTCTGTGTATGGATATAATGTGTTGAGATGATTACTCTTTATAATGTTCTTTTTGATGTGAAGACCAATCAAAATAAATAAATAAGGCACAAGTGAAGTTAATATTAAACCTCAGTAAGCAGAGTAAAGCAGACATTTCCAAAAAGAGTTTCTTGAAAGCAGTTTCTTGTTATCCCACCTCAAAAAAGTCACTGGCTCTGTATATACTATTTGTAAAATTAACACAAATCTGATAAAATAGTAATTTGTTCCTTAATCATCAGTATACCTTTTTCCAACAGGATGGACCACCACCTGGTGAAGGAAGGGTCGTAGGAGACTTAGGAGAAGATGGTTGGATTCGTGTCCAGTGGGATAATGGTTCCACCAATTCTTATCGGATGGGTAAAGAAGATAGGTATGATTTGAAATTAGCAGAGCCTCCAACACCTGCAGAGACAGACACTGATTCTGACACAAATGATGAAGCCACAAAACCACGTAAGTTGTTCTGTCTTAAATTTTGGTATGCAAATTATTTTTTTAGTGAGTTCAACATTTGCCTCTCACAAGCTATCCTCCTCTTTATACCTTTTTTTCATAATCATTTAAAATATGACACAAGTACCTCTTCTTACTTCTCAGCCTCATCTTCATCATTATCATGACAGTTTTCTTCATTGCTTTGTAAAACCTGCAGTTCAACATATGTAACTTTATATTCATGACATTTCTTGTACTAGTATATAAAAGAGAACTTTGAATATGTAGATGGCTGTCTTCTGGGATGATGCATTGTGTAGTCTGGCAGATATTTATCAATATTTTAAATGTGCTTGCTCCCTCCATCATCTGCAGCACCCTGATGATGAAGGCAGCAAGCACCTCTGAATTGTTTATAACTTCCACGAGACTATATGGTGCAACATCCTAGCAGACAACTGTGAGAACCTGATATCTCACCTTGGAATATGTGATATACGAGGCGCGTCCCAAAAGTAAGTTTCCCACTCGTCCCACAGCTAGCAAACCTTATATTGTGCGAAGCGACTGTGCGTACGTGATAGAGCAATGACGTAGCATGGCGCATGCACTAACGGTACTTCCCGCGTTCTCACAGTAGCATCGTTGCAGCTGTTGAAGATGGAGGTTCTTATTCCAGCTCCCGCCGACTGTGAAGTGCGGTCAGTGATAAAGTTTTTGAATGCACAGAGCATAGCGCCGATCGAAATTCATCGTCAGCTGTGCCGGGTCTATGGGCCTAACGTCATGAGCAAGCAGATGGTGCGTCGCTGGTGCAGACAATTTTCAGCAGGTCGACAAAGTGTGCATGATGAGAAGCGCAGTGGGAGGCCATCCATCATTACAGACGACCTTGTGGAGCTTGTGCGGGAACGCATTATGGATAATCGTCGCTTCACAATTACGGAACTCAGCAGTCATTTCCCGCAGATTTCCCGCTCCTTGTTGCACAAAATTGTCACGGAGCACCTGTTGTTCAAGAAATTGTGCGCCAGGTGGGTGCCGAAGCAACTGACACCAGAACACAAAACAAAGCGCATGGAGTCAGCATTGACATTTCTGCAGCGGTACCATGATGGCGGCGACGAGTTTCTGGACCGGATCATCACAGGTGATGAAACGTGGATTGCACACATTACCCCAGAAACCAAGCAGCAGTCAATGCATTGGCGTCACAGTGGATCTCCCTGTAAGACGAAATTCAAGCAGACG